GCCATCGAGCCCCAACCCCAGGCCTGGCTCCAGGGGGGGGCCCCGGTGACCCGCGTCCGGGCAAGGGAAAACGTGTTTCCAAAATCTTTTTCATCATATGGGGTCTTTTGAGCCGAACTTTGTCTGGTTCCTCACCCCGGACCTGTTTGCCTTGGGTGACCCTACCAGGGGCATAAAGCCCCGGGCAACTTAGCTCCTGGGATCACTGGAACACGCAAACCCCTCCACCACGATAAGGTGTCGGCTCCAGGAGGGGGTCCAGGAGAGCTCCAGGAGAGATGTCCTGTGAATTCTCCGAGCCCTCAGAATTTATCCTGAGACTAACAGATGGGGCTCTGCTTCAGATAATATTGAGGAGCCGCTGTGTCTGGATCAGACCCCATAGCTTTGCCAACATGCCATCCGTGTTTTATATTTGTTTCTGTTTTACTCTTTTAGCTATTATTATTTTTATTACAGCAGAGTTGACCACATTTCAATTCACTACAGGTTACAGTATGACTATATACCTTGCATGTGACAAATAAAAATTCTTGAATATTTCCTCTTCTATGGAACGGATCTGTAGAATGAGAATAATACCCATTTTCCCAAGAAAAAAAACATTTTTTTCTTTAATTGCTGCATCTGTGAGCGGATACACATTTCTAGAACTTCTCTACCTCTCAGCTATGGGACAAATGCAAGTTGTATGTTATTTTTCATTATGTCTTCTTCATCTTAAAAGTAAAACAGTATTAAATTAATAGGGAATTTATGGTTTAGGTCAAGTATTTAATTGATTATTACAGTAATTTGTTACTGTTATATAGTCAAAAGTGACTTGCTGAAGTTGTCATACTTAACGATCATTCCAATTTTTCCACCACTTATTGATTTTTCCACAATACTGTACTTAATTAGCTTTTTGAAGATGGATGGATGAAAAAGTAACATTTCAAAAAGCATAATATTTCACTCATTTGGTCCTAAATGGTAGTTGATAATGATGGTAAGCTTTTGGTTTAACATGACATGAGGATTGCGTGACTTATCTGTAACACAATGCTATTGGGCGTTACTTGACGCATGTAACGTGACACTGTCATTCCCTCTTGCAGGGTGGGGCCATTTGTATCCTCTGTGCGTGTGAGAGACCCAGTGATTTCACTGGAGTAGTACTGATTTCGCCCATGGTACAACTCAACCCGGAATCAGCATCACCATTTAAGGTGAGGACGGGTCCTCCTGGAATCGCAAAGGGTTGTTCCTGAGTGACAGAATATCTTACACCAGATCTATGTACTCGAGCGTAGAAAATACTCTTTATTATACAAAGGTTATGATGTTGCACATCTGGAAATGAAATTTCTGTAGTTTCACAATGTGGTAGAATGTCATATTGTACTTTGCTTCCTACTGCAGTACTGTTACTACACCTTTTGCATATTCTGTCAAACGTTTTGGCAGGTGTTTATGGCAAAGCTCCTGAACCATGTGCTTCCAAGCCTAAGTCTGGGTTCAATTGATTCCAAGTGGATCTCTCGTGACCAGAAAGAAGTAAGGCTTGAGAAGTAAATGTCATGTATCTGTAGGATTCAGAACTAAAAATGTGCAATGTGGGTCTTCTTGCAAGCACTGTAGATTAGCATTAAGCATGTGCAGTGTAGCTTGTATAGTATGCAGTGTGGATTAATAATGACCATGTGCAGTGTAGACCATATAATATGCAGTGTGGATCAGTACTGAACATATGCAGTGCAGCTTCTATAATATGCAGAGTGGATCACTACTGAATGTGTGCAGTGAAACTTATAGTATGCAGTGTGGGTTAGTAATGAGCATGTGCAGTGTAGTTTGTATAGTATGCAGTGTGGATCAGTAATGAGCATGTGCAGAACAGCTTATACAGCATACAATGCTTGGCATGTGCTAGTGTGGGTCAGCAGTGTCTGTCTCGCCTTGTAGGTGGAATCGTATGACAAAGACGAGTTGAACCACCACGGCGGTCTGAGCGTTGCATTTGCTATGCAGCTGGTGGGGGCTGCCAGGCTCATTGAGAGGGCAATCCCCACTGTGACCTGGCCCTTTCTGCTCCTCCACGGTGATGCGGATAAGCTGTGTAACATCAGCGGCTCCCACATGATGCTGGAGAAAGCTCAGAGCACAGACAAGCAGCTGAAGGTAGTGTGTGACTGACTTAACCAGACTCATGCACAAACACACACACTGGCAAACACCAAAGGCAGCACAAGATCTCCCCAGTGACATGCAACTGCAGCCTTACCCTTGACAAACCACAGGGACTGTGTGGGTATGTGTGTGTCTGTATTTGCTTTTTTTCTGGTGACACATTGCCATGGCTGTGGGTTCTGTTTGGTGGTGGCTAACACTGGCTGACACGAGTTTAATCGCCAGTGACCTTTTTTCTTTTTTGACAGGTGGGGCATTTCTCTCTGAGCTGGCAGGTGTGAATGTGCAAACACGCCCTGTATATGAAATATTTTTGTGTTTTTTCAGCCTTTTGTCTCTAAAATTAAACCTGTTAAGTGTACAATAAGCTGTCAACCCAGTTTGAGTATGGAATGAGACTGTACTTCATTCCTTTTAAATTCTTTCCACCATATATGTTTCTCTATCTAACATTCTTTCCTGTCATTGTTAGATTATTCATGCAATCATGGTGCATGACTTTGTGTGTTGTTTTTTTCCAACTAACTTAGTTACCACCCACTACAGCTCTATGTGCTTAGCCCTTGCTGAAGGGACTGTTTCTTTTTGTTGGGGTATCATTCACAAATGTACAGATTTACCAGTGTAAATTCCAGTTGCTACACAAGTATCATTCGGTACTAAGTGTCAAGACTCGTTTGATGAAAGACTCGAAACAGGCACTGTGGCAAAAGAAAATGGGATTTATTGAACTTAATGAACAGAAACTGGAAACAAACAGGGTCGTGAGAGATCAAAAAATGGGAGGACTGGAAAAAGGAAGGGCACAGGAAACAAGAGGGCTCAACGTCAATGATCGGACTGGGGAACACCAGACTTGGAAGCACATATATACAGGACTAATGAGAAAATTACCAAGAGGCAAATGGGAGTGATTTCCACATGAAGGTTAGAATTAAGTGGCAAGATGAGAGCGATAGGTGTGGCTTGGTAGGGCCATGACAGGGAGGAGACAGGCAGAGATATTACAGAACCCCCCACCGCCCCGAGGCGCACACTCTTTGCGCGGGGGTACAGACAGAGTACACCAGACACCAGATAGGACATCAACAGGGGGTCGAGACCCAACACACACCAGGGCAGGGACAATGGAACCAAAAACGCAAAGACCAGGGCAGGCACACAAGGCCAGAGGACACAAGAAGGACAGGATCATGGATACAGGACAAGACATGTAGCATGACTAGGGACACGGAACAGACAAAGACAAAGGCAGGGACTAAAGGGACAGTAGAAGTGAAGGGACAACAGAGACGGACGGAAACATAGGAGGTGGCCACAGAGGACACGGGTTGTGGCAAAACAGGGGCAGGGCTGGGTATCGGAATAGGGGCCTAGGCGTGACCAGAGGGAACGGGGAACGTCTGGGCAGTCTGTCGGATCCTGGAGAGCTGGGCAGTGAACGTGGGATATGGGTCATCCAGGGCCCACTCCTTGGTGAGGCGGGGCCCATCTGGACCACAGGGCCTAAGGGCCTTGGAGAGCCAGCAGGACTGGAGGGCACTGTGGGGCCCATTGGGCCAGAAGGTGCTGAGGGGACAGCCAAGCTGGAGTGCGCCACATGGAGCAAAGGGACTGAGGGGACTGCAGGACAGGAGCAGGAGGGCGCTGAAGGGAATACAGGGCAGGAGCAGGCGGGCACCGAGGGTCCTCTCCTCTGGGCCTCTACAGGCAACATCAAGCAAGTGAGAGTCAGGGCAGCCAGCACCGAAAGTGTGCCTCTTTTCCCCCCTCTGGGAAATGTAGACTCAGCCAATCCCTGTCTTGGGCCCCAGCCAACATCACTGACCACACCGGGACTTATGATCGGGCCAGTGTGGACCTGATGGGGGGACCCATGGATCAGGACTCAGGATGAGGTCCAGAGGGTCCTGCTCTAAGTCTTCCGGATTCCTCCAATTTGGTGAGGCAGTGACTGTGGAGTCGGGCATGGGACTGGCGACCACCAGGGTGTTGAGTGATGGACTGGCTGCGACCGGCGAGTCAGGTGTTGGACTGGCAACAACCTGCAGAATGGTGCTATCTAGAGACGAGGCAAGCAACAAAATGACAACAAGAGACAAGGTGGGCGCCAAGGTTGATAACTGGAAATAAGGTGGGTGGCAGGGTGACAACTGGAGACCATGCGGGCATCGGCAGGACATCAGGAGGCGAGGTGGGTACTGGCAGGACATCAGGAAACGGGGCTGGAGCCGAAAGGACACCTGGAGGTGAGCAGGGTGCAGCCGGGGCACCTGGAGGAGAGAAGGGTGCAGCCGGGGCACCTGGAGGAGAGAAGGGTGCAGCCGGGGCACCTGGAGGAGAGAAGGGTGCAGCCGGGACACCTGGAGGAGAG